ATTATCGATCTCAACTAATGCCGGATCTATGCAGTGTGAGATGTGTATCCATTCCATGCAGCCAAAAATCCCATTTAGTTTGGCAAGTATGAATCGCAGCATGCAATACTCCTTCCCACAAAATTAAAAATCATGCAACACTCCTTTAATTAGGCCCCATGCATCATGCAATACTCCAATTCAAGCTAAAAAAAGCATGCAATACTCCACTAATTAGGCACCATGCAACCAATGATTTTTCTCGTTGGATGAATCTCGTTGTCGGTTCTTCCGACGGGTCGCAGCCACTACACACCTGCCACAACATTATTGGTGATAGTTGTGGCAGTCAGAGCCGTGCCAAGGCGAGGGCCCATGGCCGGTGGAGTTCAGAAGTTCGCACAAGGGCCTCTAAGATGCTAGGGCCGGCCCTATGCCAACATAATAGCACCAAAACGCAGGGGAAACCGGCGGCATGTGCCGGTGTCTAGGGCGACCGGGTGTGGTATTGTAGCGGTGTCATGGGGAGGAGCGCCCATAGTCAGGCCCCGAGGATGTAGCCATATCGGTGAACCTCGTTAACAAATCTCGGTGTCGTGCTTGTATGACTGCTTGGTCCTCGGATGGTCAATGGTATGCCTCGAATTTATTCTAACAACTGGTATCATGAGCTAGGTTGTTCGGAGATCATGGATTGTTGATTCAGAGGCAGGTCTGATGTTTTGATCGGTATTGTGGTGAGCATGGTTGAGATCGATGGAAAGACGTCAAGGCGCTGAGCAATCACGGCGAGTAGCGGAAATCAGACGGTCATGCAAGCAGTCGAAACATGCGGCGATCGTTTAGTGGATCGATCGGGCGAGCGTGTACAAGCGGCGTGTTTTGGGGCGAAAATACCCGACGAGATCGGATCGAGCAGGTGCGTGTCGTGGTGTTTCAGATTGACTCGGTCTCAGCGAGATCAATTGATCGAAGGAACATGGACACAAGTCGGTGCAGTCCGAGGTGCGCACGGGTGGCAGAAGCAGCTGTACAGTGGCCATGCGCTTGGAGCGAGGCGCGCGTGAAGTGGCAGCGCAACGCCAATCGCGCAGGAGGCTTGTGCGGGCAGGACACAGTTTGACGCGTTGCGGAGGCTCATGCAACTACTGATGCTTATCGCTGGAGCATGCAAAACCTGAAACGACACGTGATTTGTTTGGGAAAAAATTGACACGAAGACTAGTCAAGACCGGGATGCTATCATGAAAGAAATAGAGAGGCTCGTTCAATAGCTACGTACGTGTGGTCAATTAGGAGCTTGGCTTGCTTTGTTAATCTCCTTTGGTGTTCACGCGGGAAGGCTATGAAGGATTGTGCTTTGGGTTTTCTTTGCTGGTACACTTCTGTGTATGGATGGCGTTGGTTACGATGAAGGCTTGAGGAGTCTGGAGCGTGTCGTTGCAGTCGAATAAGTTTGGCTGGGTCGGACTAGACAGTCTGACGGATCGATGCGAGTCGCTTGATACAGAAGACGGTGGTGGGATCAGCAAAGACGACATAGGAGCGTGATGCTGATGGTGACCGACTTCTGGGGCGTGGAAACACGTGGCGCATGCCTGAGGGCTTGTGTGGCTTCGACAAGACTATGGCGCGGGGTTGACTCAAGACGGTGCACATGAGAGCTTGAAGTCGATGGGGCGCGAGGGTGGATTGCTCATCTACCATGGAGTAATGTTGAAGGTGGAGCTGGATTGAGGGGCTACGATGTAAGGATCCAAAGAATCGAAGCCTATTCAGCGGGAAAAGCGAGTGACACGTAATTTGGACTGGAGCCCAGTGGTCTGATGGAAGCGTGAAACTCGTCATCAGTCGGTGATGATCGGTGGTACTCTGCAGTGAGGGTTGAGTGGTGTGGGTTCGCGACCCTTGAGACTCGGCCGGGACAGCGGAGGCTCGACGCGGTAATAGCAGCGAGGGGTGCAGTTAGCACGGGGCATGGAGACGGGCCAGGGCTCTGGTGGTCATACATGTGGTGAGACAAATGCGAATTTGACTCGGGATGACTACAAGCAATGGTGAAATTCCTTCAAGTTTCAGACAGGCGATCGAGAAAAGAACGGTGATGTTGAGTTCAGGTAACTCTTATGTGTGACACCCAATATGTGAGTTGTTCACTTTCACGCAGGTCAGTGATCAGTGTGTGATGTCATGGATGGATACTCTGGAAGTTGGGAGCACAAACTAGAGTAACAAGGAACTTAATTTTGCTCGAGCGTTGACCGTGGTCAAGAAAAGAAGGGACTACAAGTTGCAGTGGAGTCATATGGAGTCTTTGGAGTAGCAGCGGTACTCATGGAATAAACTCAAGTCCAATGTACATGGAAGTTTGACGCATTGACAAATTCAGGATGGTGGAGAATATTCGCCAAGGTGGAGTTTGTTAGGTTGTGTCGAATATTGTGTACAAGGTAGGTTACAGTTGGACTCTGAGTAGTATTGTGTTTACATAGGATATGGAGTCGTGTCCTAATAGGACACTTGTATCCTAGGCCTCTCATATATAGCGGGGATAGACACACGATGTAACCTATGCCAACATAATAGCACCGGAATGCAGGGGAAACCGGCGGCATGTGCCGGTGTCCAGGGCGACCGGATGCGGTATTGTAGCGGTGTCATGGGGAGGAGCGCCCATAGTCAGGCCCCGAGGATGTAGCCATATCGGTGAACCTCGTTAACAAATCTCGGTGTCGTGCTCGTATGATTGCTTGGTCCTCGGATGATCAATGGTATGCCTCGGATTTATTCTAACAAGGGCCCACGCGGACACACGCATGAACCATTGGTTCGACGGGCGCCTCATCTGTTTTTCGGTGAGAATGCATTCATGGCGCCGCGTGGCTCTGCTCCAGCGTGCCGCCAGAGGGACTAAGTCTGGCTATTTAGGCCGGAGGCAGCAGCTCAACCCCGTCCCCCGTCTGCATTTCTACCCTCTTCCCTCCTTAGCGTCGCCACCTTTAGTACGGTCGTCGTTAGCCGCTAGCCATGGCCAGGCATAGGATCACCATCTATGCCATGCTCACTCCGGAGCAGCGGTTGCAGCAACTGGAGGAGATCCAGGCCAGGCGCGAAGCTCAGATCGCAGTCGGCATGTCTCTGGATTCGTTGGAGCCGGAGGAGGAGCAGACGGCCATGGATGACTCGAAGGCAGAGGAGGCAGATCATACGCCTTCGGCTGCGGGCTTCGCCATGGTTAATGCGCTGGCGAAGTTCGAGGTGGCCCAAGCGGAGGATGCGACGGAGCAACAAGCCACCCTCGATTCCATCCAGTCGGAGGCGAAGGTGGAGTCCAACCATTGCTTCCTCCGCTAGGCAGACACAAAGCTCAACGAGATCTGGGCCGACAAGGAGCAAGAGGAGGCGGAGCCGGAGGTGCGCCCAACCGCCAATGACCATTAGGCTGACGACTCCGACACGAACTTCATCAACATCTCCGATGAGGAGGACGAGTAGTGTAGTTGGTACATAGATCATGTCGTTGCATGCTTTTGTATGAAAAAGCAAATCGTGAAATGACTACTATGGTCGTTGGAGGTGGATTATGGGGTATGACCGGTCACCGTCTGCAGACGTGTCCGACCCATTTCGTCCGCCCGCGTTCGTTTGAGTCCGTGGAGACAAAAAACCGCAACTCAATGCAGAGTTCACTTTGTGTCCGTTCTCGGACTCATTTTCTGTCCCAAAATTGGGTCATCCGAAGCGGACACCATGCGCTGTCCGTCTGTGTCCTCTTTGTCTGGCCTAGCCCATCACCTACCCACCTTTTTATCTCTCTTCCCTCCTTTTTCTCCCTCCTGGCCCACACATCCACCCATGAACCGCAATAATATCTTCACGTCGATGGGAGACAGAGGAGGCACGTAGCGCGACGGCGCCCCCTCCGACCAGTCTCATCGGCCTCGAGGCCTCCGTCGCCGCGGCCCCCGACAATCGAATCGTTGACGGGCTCGGTGGTGTTTGTCCACGTCGTATTCACGTCGGAGAACATCATCCGCATCAGGTGCGGTGCTCCCTTTGCATCAGGCAGGCACCTCTTTGATGTTCTCCTCCTCGAGCGACAGTTGGGTAAGGGCATCCAAATGCGGTCGCACCGTTGGGTGCACCGTCCATGTCCACATGTTCGTTTTGTGTCCGTTGTCTGTTTTGTCAACCCAAACAAATAAAAAATAAACAGAATTCGTGTTCGTTTGGGTCACTCTGTTGAAGCTGGCCTAAGGCTTTGATTGGTTGCAAGGTAAAATACACCCAGGAAACCGAGTTGCTCTAACAATTCAAAGTCCAATACGATACCCTCATTCTCTAATCACAAAAATCCCAGCTGCCCAAATCATGCTCCATGCATGTTCATGGACACAACGAAAGTACACGAGAAAATGATGATGATTACTCATCAAGGGGAAAACCCCGTGACACCAAAACCCACCCCCTCCAAACCGCAAGCTTTGGCGTCCTCCCCGTCGGCCTGCCGCCTGCCTGCGTCCCCCCTTCCTAACCGCAACCAACCCAACTCTACTCACTCCAGTCTAGAAAGGAAAGGAAAGACGCAACACAGGTCACGTCGCGAGCGAAGCAAGGCACAGAATCGCGACGCCGACGCCGACCAGACCCTCACCCTCCGCTGACGCGCCGGACCCACGCGTGAGAAACGTGGCCCGCGGACACCCGGGACCCACGGCGCACGCCTCCTAGTTAAGCGGCCTGCCGGTCCCTGCACCCAAATCGCCGCACCCGTTTCGTACTTACCACCCTCTGCTTTCCTCCCAATCACACAGCCGCGCCTCTCTCTTCTCCGTCTCACTCTTGTCCCCCACGCCCCCGCTTCTGGGAAGCGGCCTTCTGAACCTTCTCTCCGGCTAGGGTTCCGGCTCCGACGGCGGCGAGGATGTGTGCCGCGCGGCCGCGGAGGTGAGGCGGCGGGCGTGGTGGGATAAGGATTGGTGTTGGTATTGGGATTGGAGGAAGGGGGAGGCGGTTTCGGGATGGACCCGGACTTCTCCCGGGCGAGCGGCGGCCCGAGCTTCGAGTTCGCCTTCAACTCGGTCAACTTCTCCGACCGGGTCCTGCGGATCGAGATCGTCGCCGGGGACGACGCGCCGGGGGCCAAGGGCGCCGCGGGCGAGGGGTGCTCCTCCATCGCCGACTGGGCGCGCCACCGCAAGCGCCGCAGGGAGGACCTCCGCCGCGACAAAGGTGGGGAAGGTTGGCCTACGTCTCGTCATCATTTCGGTACGGTCCGATTTGGGCGTGGGTGGGTTTGAATTTGCATTCGTACTGATTTGACAGCGGGTGGGTGGGGAGTTGCGAAATGGAGGTAGTACTACTTGCTTTTCCCGCTGATTTGTTTTGATTGCCTGTTGAGGATTTAGGTATCAAAAGGCTTACGTTTGGTATAACCGTATAAGGTGGGAGAAAGATGACGAGGCAGCTTTTCCTTTTGATCGAAGTGAAGTTATGATTTCCCAGCTCTTTGCCTTCCTCAGTTGTTGCCGCACGGAAATTTAGCTACAGTATATGATCTTCTCAGCAACGTGGTGTTCAGGACATGACCTTGGTGGGCGGAGTTTAAGAGATGACTCTATTTGCAGGATCTTATTCAACTCTTAATTCCGCAGAAGAAGAAAACTCTGTGACATTGCTCCTAGTATGATCCTGAATTTACAAAGAGCATTGTGCACCATAACTGAACCAGCCTCAAGCCCAGTAGATGCAATAAGTTGTATATAAACTATGGACAAAAGTTAGTTTGGTTATTGCCTGATGAATAGCACGGCCAGATGTTGTCCAATGTCTCATTTAGCTGAGCATGCATTCGTTGTAATGGGCTAACAGGGGTTTTACGTGTTACATAATGCTTCTAAGTTTCTATATTTGAGTAAAGTAAGCATGAAAGAGGGTATATTAAGGGGAGGATGGAACAGTAATGAAGTTAGAAGTTCTTACTCTTAACTAGTTACTCCCTCTGTCTGTGTTTATTAGGCCACCGGGGCGAAGTGCTGGGACCAAGGCACAACGCGTGTAGTTGCTCAGTTTTGAATTGGCCCTGTTAGAACACATGGGTTAGCGGCATTAATTAGCGAAACCATTTCGCCTACCTCGCACATGTAGCGGCTGGAGATTTATCTCCCTAAATCAGTGGACGGAACGAGCAACGGAACCTGCGAAATCTGTACTTACTTAATTAAGACCGGACGTGGCTCGCTGGTTCTCTGGCCTAATAAACGTGGACATAGGAAGTATATGACATTCTATTAGTGTCCCATGAAAAGTTCCGAGTACCCAATATATTTTGCTTGCATCCAACTTCGCTCTGAATGTGCAGTCTAGGCATTCATCATTAATGCTTGTTCATGGGCCTCAATTGTTATTAGGATTTATGCTTTATTGCTTGGATCTTTTTCTGTCATTGTCGTATGAAACTATTGTAGTCTTGCTTTGCTTTATCAGAATATGTTTCTGTCATGACGATCTGATGCTAATGCACTTCTACTATTCACATTTTCTTAATCATGTTCTTATTCTAGAGTGCAATACCTTCCATTTTTAATGACTTCCATCTATCATTTCATGCCCCCAGAATGTGGAAAGTATATGTCAGAACCAGCAAACATCAAAATTGAAGCAGATGAACGTGATACCTATGAGGAAACCAACGAGGAGCCTGTAGCTATGATAGAAGAATCTCCACCTGATATTGGACAAGATGGTTAGTACAATTGAATATGTTTTAATTACTCCGTAATACTCCCACCGTATCAAAATATAAGAGATTTTTTCGGCTAGTTTAGCCTACAAAAACGTCTTATATTTTGGTACAGAGGTAGTATATGGCAGTCAGGTTCAGCAAATTTAACACATAAATACAGAATTCCGTGCACCTATGCCAGATAATTAAAATTATTTCTTGGAGAACTGTTATGCGTAGCAATCATTGGTACTGATCATATGTGATTTTAGAGTTGGTTGATGGCACAATGTATCAGAGCGAGTAATTCATTCCTTTGTATTGAAACTGTGGAGACATGCTGGTACCGGTGAAGCCTTTCTGCCACCCATTGCATTATAATATTAGACATGTGGTAATCATTTTAAATGCCTCACTTTACTATTGATTGGTTGAGATTTATATGAGCTTGATTACTTGATTCTTTCTGCCCCACCTAATTGTGGAACAATTGGGTTATGTTGGATAGATTATACTTCTGTTGGATATAATTCTGACATAACTGTAAGTAAACTTTTGTACAATTGTTGTACTTGTGGACAAATGTACTTTTAACTTTTGAAGCTACCAGATCTCTGAAGTTTGTGCACCATGTTGTTAATGATAAGTCATATGATTCAATACACTGTCACTATGCTCCCCATTTGGTTGTGCTCCAAAGCATCATATCCTTGTCTATATAAAAGATGTGAATCATGTGCACCATTTGTTCCTTTATACTACATGCCTATGTGGCCGTTTGTTCTCTGCTTCATTGGACCTTGTTGTTTGTATCAGGTGAGGATGGAGAAAGCAGTGACTCATCCTGGAATATGGAGTGCAATCAGGTTTTGAGAGTGAAGTCTATATATATCAGCTCTGCGATTCTAGCTGCAAAAAGTCCCTTCTTTTACAAGGTAGATTTAATTTATGTGTAAAATGAGTTCATTGTGCAGTGTAGTTATTTACTGTTATCTAGCTAACAGTGTCATAACTTTCATCTTGTTAGCTTTTCTCAAATGGCATGAAAGAATCCGACCAGAGGCATGCAACTCTTAGAATAACTGCTTCAGGTAATTCGGGAGCTCCTTTAGGACATTTTCTGTCCTAGCTGCTGTACAGTTTTGTTTAATGTTTTGAATGATCGATTTTGTAGTACTGACATGATCATTGTCAATGAGGTTATCCATGATTAATTTTTCAGTTCAGCTAGCAAGTTACTCCCTCTGTCCCATAATATAAGAGTAGTTTTTGACACTACACAAGTGTCAAAAACACTCTTATATTATGGGACGGAGGGAGTAATTGTCTATACCCCACCATTTTGCAAATATATTTTTCTTTTGCTTTCGAGCTAACAGTTACCTTGTGTCTGATTGTTGTATTTCTACTTGGAACAGAGGAAAGTGCCCTTATGGAGCTTTTAAGTTTTATTTACAGTGGAAAGTTGACGACCAATCAGCCAACCCTTCTGCTTGATATCTTGATGATGTCTGACAAATTTGAAGTTGTTTCTTGCATGAGACACTGCAGTCAACTACTAAGAAGCTTACCTATGACCACAGAATCTGCACTTCTCTATCTAGATCTGCCTTCCAGCATTTCAATGGCTGCAGCAGTTCAGCCACTGACTGATGCTGCCAAGGAATTCCTCGCCAACAAATACAAGGATTTGACTAAGTGGGTGGTCTCTTTATTTAGAGAGCCAACTACATTGTCAAAATAACATTGTTGAACTAAAGGAATGCTTCCTCTTTTCAGGTTTCAGGATGAAGTGATGAACATCCCCCTTGCTGGGATTGAAGCCATCTTATGTAGTAATGACCTTCAGGTGGCATCAGAGGACGCAGTCTATGACTTCGTGATCAAATGGGCTCGTGCTCAATACTCAAGAACGGAAGAAAGACGTGAAGTCTTGGGGACTCGTTTGCTGCCACTTGTTAGGTTTTCTCATATGACCTGCAGGAAGTTGCGGAAGGTCCTTGCATGCAGTGATCTGGATAATGAGCAAGCAACTAAAAGTGTCACTGATGCACTCCTGTACAAAGCTGATGCACCACATCGACAGCGCGCCCTTGCTACAGATGTGTTGACCTCTAGGAAATATACTGAACGAGCTTACAAATATCGCCCACTTAAGGTGGTGGAATTTGACCGACCGTATCCTCAATGCATAGCATACTTGGATCTGAAGCGCGAGGAGTGTGGCCGACTATTCCCATCTGGGCGGATTTACTCGCAAGCATTCCATCTTGCTGGACAGGGATTCTTCCTCTCAGCACATTGCAACATGGATCAGCAAAGCGCTTTCCACTGCTTTGGTCTCTTCTTGGGGATGCAAGAGAAAGGCTCAACGAGTGTTACCGTGGACTACGAGTTTGCTGCAAGGACAAGGCCATCGGGTGAGTTTGTCAGTAAGTACAAGGGCTGCTACACCTTCACTGGTGGAAAGGCGGTTGGCTACCGCAATCTCTTCGCAATTCCCTGGCCGTCGTTTATGGCTGATGATAGCCTCTTCTTCATCAATGGGGTACTACATCTGAGAGCAGAATTGACCATAAAGCAACTCTAGTTGGTGCTTGGCGCACTACTAACATCATCTGTCCTTGCTCACACCTCAGTTCGTGCAACGATGGGCCTCAGTGTGGAAAATCTTGTGTCATTCGAACATGTTATTACTCTGTGCCAAAATAGACACTTCTGAAATGAGAAGCCAAATCCTTTGTTTTACATAAAAAGAGGACTGTCATGTTATGCATTTAGTTTTGAACTTTGGAAACTGAAGATTTGACACCGAGAATCAAAGTTACATTCTGAACATGTTCAGATGAGTTGAATTTGCAGTCTGTTAGATTTCCTACACGCGCTGGTAGGGCCGTTTAGACAATAGATGTCACAAAGACCATGTGCTAAATTGCTGCTGGTGGGGAGGCTTGGTTCTTGCTAGTAGATATGCTAGGGATGCTAGGGTTTTAGTCCAAGGAGGGCGACGCTCGGACGGATGACGGTGTTTCTTCTTTTAAGTTGAATCTTTCAGGCTCTGATCCTTTTTAATTTCGTTGGGACGGATTAAATGAAGTTTTGCTGTAAATTCTTGCCAGCTCCTTAGACGGTGAGTTTAGGTTTTCTCATAGTGCATATGCTAGACGGCGAGGTTAGGCTTTCACATTGTGCATATGTGATGACGAGGTTTGATATCAGATTCTTTTGATGGATTCAAGGGTTCAACGATGATGTTTATCGCTTCAAGGCATTGGTTCTTAGGGACATGTGAACGAAGACTTTTTGGCCCGCATCAACAAGGTTAGTCCAGCTTTGATAGAGTGGTGACAACGTGTACAAAGATTTTTTGGCTGTCATTAATAAGGTCAGGCCAGCTCACTATGAGAGCACCGACAAACAATGCGTCAGTGGCTTGTTTTGACGGCATCAATGAACATTTGATGGTCCAGAGATTTCGATGTAATTATTATTATATTTGGGGTGCTTAAAAAGAAAAGCATACTAGCCATGAATTGAAAACCCAAATCCGGACATGTGAACGAAGACTTTTTGGCCCGCATCAACAAGGTTAGTCTAGTTTTGATAGAGTGGTGACAACGTGTACAAAGACTTTTTGGCTGTCATTAATAAGGTCAGGCCAGCTCACTATGAGAGCACCGACAAACAATGCGTCAGTGGCTTGTTTTGACGGCATCAATGAACATTTGATGGTCCAGAGATTTCGATGTAATTATTATTATATTTGGGGTGCTTAAAAAGAAAAGCATACTAGCCATGAATTGAAAACCCAAATCTTATATTGTGTGCGTTCATTGACAAGCCATGTGACGGATTGTCCAGTTATTTTATTTTAACTCCCATCTCTTACCAATTACCATGCGAAGCGGTGGACTTCATGCTATCTTTTATAAAAGATTCTGGCCCATGCTAGAGGACGACCTAATTAAGGAGGTTTTGCAAGCAATCAATACAATGCATGCACTATTCCAGCTGGTTGGAATGACACTGCGATCGTGATGATTTTAAAGGTTAATACACCGAAAAAGGTAACCCAATTTAGGCCGACCAGCTTATGTAATGTGGTATATAAAATAATTACAAAAATGATGGCTTATCGGTTGAAGGTCTTCCTGCCAGATATTATTAGCCCAACTCAAAGTGCTTTCGTACCCGGCAGACTGCTAACATATAATATTTTAGTAGCTTATGAATGTTTTCACACACTCAAGAATAAAAGAGAAGGTAGAGAGGGTTTATGCGCTATAAAACTTGATATGCACAAAGCTTATGACAGAGTTGAATGGCCTTCTTTGAAAGAAATTATGTTGCGATTGGGTTTCCGTCAAGATTGGGTAAATTTTATTATGCAATGCGTCTCAACGGTCGAGTACAGAGTAAGGATTAATGCGGAGAAAAGTGAGAGCTTCAAGCCTACAAAGGGTTTGAGACATGGAGACCTGTTGTCACCATACCTCTTCTTGTTGTGCATTAAGAGTTTGAACGCGTTCTTACACATGCGGAGGAAAATGGAAAAATTTCAGGAGTAAGAGTCTGTAGAGACGCTCCACCTATCACAAACCTTCTCTTTGTGGATGATTCATTGATTCTTATGAAAGCCAACCAACACAGTGCGGAAGCTCTGAAAGCAGTGCTAGAACTATATTGTGAGGCTTCGGGACAATTGGTAAGTGTTGAAAAATCCAACATTTTCTTCAGCCCTAACACAAAGGTGGAATTAAGAGAACAGTTGTGTATAAAGCTGAATATATTGATGGAGGCTCTTAGTGATAAGTATTTGGGTTTGCCAGCAAATGTGGGAATTGATAAAACAGACTATTTCCAATTTCTGATTGAACGTATTGTTAAGAAAATTAGTGTCTGGAAGGAAAATTTACTATCTGCTGGGGGAAAGGAGATCTTGCTCAAGGCTCTGATCCAAGCCATACCCACCTATGCAATGTCGGTCTTTAAAATACCTAAAAAAATTGTAAAGGAATCATTGACGCGATAGCGCATTTCTGGTGGGGAGACGAGGAGAATCAGAAGAGAATGCATTGGATGTCCTTGTGAAAAATGTGCGTACCCAAAAATTAAGAAGGAATGGTATTCCGTGATATTCACTCTTTCAACCTGGCCTTGCTCGCTAAACAGACATGGCGTCTTCTAGATAATCCTGATTCCTTGTGTGCCTCTATCCTAAGGGCTAAGTACTACCCCGATGGTGATTTATTGAATTCCAAGCTAAGGAAATGATCTTCTTTTACCTGGCAAAGCATTATGGCAGGCACAAACTCCGTGAAACATGGTTATATTTGGTGAGTGGGGAATGGACAAAACATCAATATTTGGGAATACGCTTAGATCCCAAGTTGTGCCATTAGGAAAGTTGTAACGCCTAAGGCGAGACAACTGTTAACTATGGTAGGTGACCTCATTGATCTTGTTTCCAATAATTGGGACGAAGATATGATTAGACAAACAATGTGGCCCATCGATATACAACGGATTCTTTCAATTCCACTCTCGCAACATGATATGACAGATTTCATTGCTTGGAGTTATACGAAAAATGGTACACCACGGTAGTTCTGCTGAAAATAGTGTCAGTCCGGGTTAGTTCCAATCATATCATACTGATGAGGACATCAATACCATTGTTACACGCACAGCCCCTGCTGCTATACATACTGGACCAATTACTATAGCTCGTGCACGCCAATTGAATTATCAGGTACTTTCGTTTCTTGGTAACGATTCTAATGTTCATGAGAATATGATGCTGCCTAAATTGGATACATTTGTTTTGCTTACAAATGAAGGCCTAGCTTGGACAAGAAAGATGAACCTTGAATCAAGTTCAAGCATGAAGATGATGGCATGCGCAAGGGAAACAAGAACATAGTTACAAGTGATGATTCCAGGACTCTGAAGCCACCATAATGAGTGCACGAAGCCTTGGACGAAATATACAAGATGCCACTTCATAAATTTCGTCCAGAGGCTATTTAGGTGCTGCGTCACCTTATTTTTGGGCCAGGCCCATGTAATTTCGAAATACTTGATTATAGGCAGTTTTTAGAGTCCGTATGTGTGGGGAAACAAGAGTTAGGGTTGGTTTCGGACCCCTCCTCCAAGGGCCACAAAATTCCCCCCTCTCTTCTCCATATATACAGCCCTTAGGGCACCGTTTAGACTTTGGATTTTGTTTAGATTAAAGTTCACCATAGCTGCAACTTCGCGTACTTCGTTTGTGTTCAACGACCAAACAAAGGCGTCACAGAACCCCACCTTGATCAATAAAGCTTTCCTCTATTATTCGCAATATCCAGATTGCAATCTCAGTTTCTTGCTTGTTCTTTGTTTGCTCGCAGGAAATAGACCCTCGTGGTCAGGTTGATCGTGCTCCGGCGTGGTCAATAACCCTCGGAAGTTGGTTTAGCGATTGCTAAGGCGTGGCGTCTTCGCACGTTCGTAGTCGGATCGTCAAAGTCGACTCCCACAGAAAACGATATCTATCTCATCGAAACATCGGGACACCTTCGCCTCTATCAAGTGGTATCAAATTTCCAGGTTGCTTGGTGAGATTTTACAGTTTTTCATAGTTTAGATCGAGTCTGTTCTTCATACCTACAGTCCACGAAAAAAGCCAAAAAAAATTAGGGTTAGTTCATCATATCCGAACCAATCTGAGCCTTTGCATAGTCTTTTCAGTATTTTGCTTTGTTGAATTTGCGGTTGCATCGTCGTGTCTAGTTGCTGGTCTTAGAGTCTAGTCTTTTAGAGTTTCGAGTTCTGGTCATAAGTTGTCACGCCGCCGCACCATCATCATCACCCCTGCCATCTACCACCACCGCTTATCCGCCATCGACCCGTCTCCATATACCATCACCAATCCGTATCCATATACCACCACCAATCCGTATCCATATACCACCACCGTTGCCATATCCTACCACCATATATCCACCAACAATCCGAGTTCCTTTTGTATTAGGTTTGTTTTCGAGATCCGTCTAATTTCCGATTCGTGTTTCCTTGCCTGAGTAGGTTTCGAAAAAAAAGAAAAAAGAAAAAAAAGTCTGGAGACCCCCAGGCAGTTTTTAGGCCAAAATTTTCACAGGCAAAAATATTTTTTCCCTATCCTATTTTTAGGCTTTTCTGAGTCTTTTGAGCCACGTGCCATCATAGTGATTTTTTGTCGCACTTTTTCATCGTCGCTGCCCTGATTTCCGAAAAAAAGTCAAAAAAAAATTCGTGCCCATCCTGTCAGTTTGACGAGGGAAGAGTTTTGAGACACTCGCCATTATAGTGATTTTTCACAAAAAAGAGGCGCAAAAAAGAGGAGCGCCAAAAAAAAAACAGAGCGAAAAAAGTTTCAGAGTGTGCTTTTCCCTTGTTTACGTGCAGCGCCGTGATTTTGTTAGTGTTCTAGGCTCGCGTCTCTAGCACGGTCTAGCCTAGGACCAGCACAGTACCGTCGTTGAGAGTTTATTCAACTTTGCATCTCTGAATTGATTATTGCTAACCCTTTTTGTTACCATATTATAAGCCTTCCCAGCTCCACATACA